CACCCATCCATTGTGTCAAGCACATTTGTACATTTTTTTTTGCACATTTGTACATTTGTTGCCATCATCATTCTCAAAATATTTTCTTTCTACTTGAACCCTTGGTATTGGCTCCTCGTTTTTCTCCTCCTTCCTAGACGAACCCTTGTTAATTAATAAATTATTATTATTTTTAATGTCTTACACTGTTCTTCAAACAATTTTCTGTTGTCTGTCCCACAGGGAGGGGGTTATATGTAGATCACTGTGATAGGTTCTCCCTTTCCCCCCCCCTCCTACCCTTACCCTCCTGATATCACTGCTCTCATTATTGGTCCTGAGGGGGTTTATCTGTCCTGGATTCCCTGCATTTCCAGCTCTTTTCTGTACATCCTCCCGTCTACCTGGATTTCTAAGGTAGAATTGGGATCATGATAGTGGGGAGGGGGGAGGTTATAGAGAACTAGAGGAAAGTTGTATATTTCATCCGTGCTATACTGTACCCTGACTGGTTTGTCTCCTCCCCAAGACCCTTCTGTAAGGGGATATTCAGTTGCCTACAGATGGGCTTTGAGTCTCCACTCCACACTCGCCCTCCTTCACAATGATATAATTTTTTGTTCTTTGATACCTGATACCTGATTCCAATACCTTGTGATCACACAGGCTGGTGTGCTTCTTTCATGTGGACTTGGTTGCTTCTCAGCTAGATGGCCTCTTGTTAATCTTCAAGACGCCAGATGCTATATCTTTTGATAGACAGGCACCATCAGCTTTCTTCAACACATTTGCTTATGCACCCACTTTGTCTTCAGCAATCGCATCGGGAAGGTGAGCATCATGGAATGCCAGTTTAATAGAAGAAAGTGTTCTTGCATTGAGGGAGTACTTGAGTGGAGGCCCAATGTCCTTCTGCTACCTTAATACTAAACCTATAAATATGTGCACAAAGCTCTATTTCCCCAACATCATATATAAATATATTTACATGTGTACATGACTGTATTTAGACCTCTGTAAATGTCCTTTGCCTCCTTGTTCTTTCCTCTATTTCCTTTGACTTTCCTCTTGTTCCACTATCATGCTCAGCCTTCATTTGGGTTTCAGTAATTCCTCTTGGTTACATTGCCTTTGATCAACCCTATGAGGCCTCTTACACCCTCGAATTTGGACTTTTCTAATGTTACTATACTTGGTATTTTTATTTTGCTTTCTTTTTAATATTGCTGATATATAGAAATGCAATGGAGATTTGCTTATTATTGTTGTGTATTTCAGCATTCCTAATATTGTGCATTTTTTCTATGTTATGTTTTAGATAACTTTGAAGTTTTTACATACATGACAAGTGCCATCTGAGAATAAAGAGAGCTCTAGCACATTCTTTCTAAACCTTGTCTTTTCTCTCTTTATTCCAATAGCTAGAATGTCTAGGATCATACTGGGAGAACAAGTAGTAAATTGACATCTTTGTCTTGCCTCAGTCTTAGAAGAAAAATGTTTAATATTTCATCATTTATTTTGTCTTTCATAGAGGCTTCTACTCTTTGTTGTCTAAGGGTTTTGTCATAAATTGGGTATACAGTTTTTATTAAAGGTTTTTCTCTGATCCATTGAAATGACCCCATGAATTGATCTATTCTGCTGTTATGGCACATGACCTAAATTAATTTAAAATATTAAATCAATTTCCATTCCTAAAATAAAATTACTCAGACACAATGTCTTGGACTCCATATGCTAAAATTTTGGGATCTTGCATTTCCATTTGTAGGGAATATTTGACTGTTCTTATATTGAGATATAACTCTCAGGCTTTGGTAACATAAACTAAACTGATCTCCTACCCCACCCACTATCATGACCCCAGTCCTGCCTTTCAGTCCTAGCTAGACCAGAGTGTCTAGTAGGACAGATAAGAGTTCACGACACATGGGATCCAGGTAAGATAAACACCTCAAGAACAGAAATGGGAGTAGTGATACCAGGAGGGTAGGGGGAAAGTGGAGGGAAGAGGGGAGGAAGGGGGAACCTATTGCAATGATTGACACATTAGGTCCCCCTCACCCTGGGTTGGGGGATGAACAACAGAAACATGGGTGAAAAAAGACAACAGTAGGTGTGAGACATGAAAATAATAATAATTTATAATTTATCAAGGGGGTCACAGGGGAGGGAGCTGATACCAAGGCCTCAAATAGAAAGAAAATGTTTTTAAAATGATGATGGCAATATATGTACAGCTATCCTTGATACAATTGAGGTATACATTGTTATAAGAGCTATAGGAGATCCCCCAATAAAATGATCTTTGAAAAATAAAATAAATTTATTTCAGTCAATTATTGAAGAATATTCCATCTTGTGAATTCTTCAGGCTTTATATATAACTGGTATTACCTCTTAAGTATTTCATAGATGTCAACAAGCCCTGTAGGTCAGGATAGTTCCTGTGTCTAGATTTTTACTTATGAATTTAATTATAACCAAATACATGCCTATTTAGATGTCATGGTCTTGTATCTTTTTGAAACATTTGTCTTCTTAAGAAATATATCCATTTCCTCTATGTTGCAAGCAGTTACTTGGGAACTGACTTATTTGCAAAATTACGGATGATTCTCCTTTTCATGCACAAGCCTGCACTTTGGGGTGGAGCATACAGACTATCCTGAGATCCTCTGAGTTAGTTAATTGTGCCAACCTGGCCGATAATCACATGTGGGGCTAATTGAAAGGCAGAGGGATAAATGGGTGGTGAGCCTCGCCTTTCTAGTTCTCGGGTCTCTTGCTTTCTGATGGTTGCACCGGGTGCAGCTGCCTTAGCAGTTCCCTGCTTCAGCTTGCAAGATGGACTTCCTACAAGACATCCCCAAGGAGAAGCCACATGGACCTATCCCGATGCCGCCCTGGGTGCTGGAGCAGCCATGTGGTGACCCCTGCTAGTGCTGAGATGCTTCTGAAAAGCTTCTGAAAAGCACATCATATTTAAATTCTGAGGTACTTACAATAGTTTGTAATAATAAATGGGCTATGATATGCATCAAACATCATCATCACTACTGTATTATTATGTCAAATAAGTATTTGCGTAGCAAGGTACACTATATTTGATATCTGAGACAAACATTTTATTCATGGTGGACATGAACCATAACTGCCTAGATTGTGTATAAATTCAATTTAAAGGCAAACGTAGGAATAGAATTTGTTCATAGTTGGAGGACTGCCTACACACAATATAGTGTTCACAGACAACAAAATCCTATAAAGTCCTATTTTATAGAACATTTTAATGATATTAAATAACACATAATTGTATTATTTTAAAGGTATATACAAATGCATAATCATAGCCTCAACAAAACTAAAACTAAAAAAAAAAGTTGTTTTTCTTGTTAAGTGCCATGAAGTCAGTTCTGACCCACAGCAACCCTGTGCACAGCAGAATGAAACACTGCCCCGTCCTGCGCCAGCCTCGCCATTCTTCCTGTGCTTGGTTCCTATCCATGGTTACAGCCACTGTGTCGATCCGTGTCATTGAGGGCCTTCCTCATTTTTGCTGCTCGTCTACTTTATCAAACATGATGTCCTTCTCACAGACTGCTCTCTCCTGACAGCATGTGCAAAGCATGCAGGATGATGTCTCGCCATCCTTGCCTCTGAGAAGCACTCTGACTGTGCTCCTTCCAAGACAGGTTGGCCTGTCCCTTTCCAGTTCTTGGTACTTTTCATTGCTTTTTGCCAGCACCGCAACTGAAACTCATAGATTATGCTTTGGTCATCCTTATTCAAGGTCCAACTTTCACATGCATATGAGGGAAATGAAAGCACCATGGTTTGGTCAGGTGTGCTCTAGTCCTCAAAGTAACCCCACTGATTTTCAACTCTCTGAAGAGGTCTTGTGCAGCTGATTTGCCCAATGCAACATGTGTTTTGATCTCTTGATTGCTGCTTCAATGAGCATTGATTATAGATCTAAGCAAGATGAAACCCTTGACAACTTCAATCTTCCCCCCATTTATCATGATGCTATCTCGTGGTCCAGTTGTGAGAATCTTGGTCTTCTCTACATTGAGTTGCAATCCATCCTGAAGACCGCAGTCCTTGATCTTTATCAGCATGTGCTTCAAGTCCTCCTTATTTTCAGCAAGCAAGGTTGTGTCTGTGTCATCTGTGCATATTTCAGGTTGTTAATAAACCTTCCTCTAAACCTGATGTCACATTCTTCTTTATACAATCCAACTTCCCAGATTATATGCTCAGCATACAGATTGAATAAGTATCATCAGAAGATACAACCCTGTCACACACCTTTCCTGATTTGAAAACATGCAATATCTCCTTGTTGTATTTGCAAAACTACCTCTAGATCCATGTACAAATTGTACATGAGCACAATGAAATGTTCTGAAATTCCCATTCTTCTCAAGGCAATCTATTGTTTGTAATGATCCACATAATCCAAGGCCTTGGCGTAATCAACAAAAACATATGTCTGGTAAGATTTCAGGTAAGATTTATCTGACATTAGCAATGATATCCCTTGTTGTCTTCTGAATCGAGCCTGAACCTCTGGCAGCTCCCTGTCAATGTACTGCTACAACTATTACTGGATGATCTTCAGCAAAATTTTACTTGTATGTGATATTAACAATATTGTTCTATAATTTGAGCAATCTGTTGGGCCACCTTTCTTTGGAATGGGTACAAATGTGAATCTCTTCCAGTCAGCCGGCCAACTAGCTCTCTTGAGAATTCCCTGGCATAGACAAGCAGTCCTAACCCCAGAGCTAGACTTCCCACTTGAGGAAGCTGGCAAGGCCCTGAGTAGATTAGTTCTTGAGACAGTGCACTCAGCGTTGGTTTAGTGGGTATCGTCCCCTTTAATCATCACATTATCTCACCCATCTTATGAACAGAGGCATGAGAGTGACAATTAAGAAAGTCATGCAGGTTGATGGGGACAGATTGGACTTTAAACTCACAGCTGTGTCTGACAGAGGCAGAGGCTCTCAGCACTACACCGCACTGCTCTCTGCCTGCTCCGTGGGTCCCTGAGGGGGTGCTCCTCCAGGTTCCTCCCCCTCAGGAGTGTCCTGCAGTGCCCTCTGGAGAACCATCCTGAGGGTCGGCCTCACCCGTTGCCGCTGCCTAAAGGAGCCAACGAAGAAGTAGATGATGGGGTTGGCACTGCTGTTAACACAGGAGAGAAAACGAGAACAGAAATAAGAAAACGTGCCAAGATCCATGTCCATCCAGGTTAATGTAAACCAAGAAATGCCGAAGGGGAGGCCGCACAGCAGGCAGACCAAGACAGTGATCAGAATGGTCACAATGAGCCTGGTCATATTCCTCCTCCGGGAGCCATAGAACACCTTCACCAGCAGAACCAGGCTGGACCCACAGAGAACCACAAATAAGAAAATCACCCACATGGCAATGATGAACTCGAATGACGTACACCAGTCCCTTTCCATGTCACTGTTAATGCCGGAACAGTAGACCCAATCCAGGATGGCCAACATCAGGGACAGGGCCCAGAGCAGGGTACACATGACAGCTGACATGTAACTTGGGCGGCGGCAGCGGTACCAAAGGGGGCACAGGATGGACAGACATCGCTCGGTGCCAATGGCGCTGAGAAGGCTCATGTCCATGAGGTAGGGAAACACTACCACATGGTTGATTCTGAGTAGGAACTCGATATTTTCCCCAAGGAAGAAGTACGTGAGATCTAGCAGGCAAAAGGCACCCACGATGCCGAGGACTAGGCAGTCGGCCACGGCCAGGTGGAGGATGTAGACGGAGAAGGGGTTCCTCCGCAGGCGGCAGCCCAGCAGCCAGACCACGACCGCGTTTCCCGCCAGCCCAAGCGGGGCAAGGATGACAGTTAGAAAGCTGGTGGTCAGAAATGTTATCGTCATCGTGTCAAAGTCTTCCTGAAAGGTCGCGTCACTTTCATTCACTGTTGAGAGTAGGTTTCCCCAGTCTGCGGAGGCGGGCTCCATGCTCACAAACCCTCCGCTGGTGGTCCTGGAACAGAAACAAGAGGTGAGCACCTGCTGAATGGTCATTGAGTCTCAGGACCATCCCCCTGCCTGGGAGCTGCTTCCCACACTTTACACAGAGGGGAACGGAGGCTCACAGGATGAAGGATTTTAAGGCTGGGCACGTGATGGTGTAGGGGTTATGCAGTGGGCTACTAACCTCAAAGTCGACAGTTTGAAACCACCAGCAGCTCCGCAGGGTGCAAATGGGGCTTTGTATTCCCATGACCCGGGAACTCACGGGGCCAGTTCTACCTTGTCCTATAGGGTCGTCAGGAATCGCCACCGAAGTGAGGTTTTGTTTTGAGAGGGGTGCAGGTTCTCATTGTCTCTGAAGCTGTGTTCTTCCTGCACACGCTTTCTCAGATGGGACTACTCTGTGGTCCAATCGCCTCCCTACGGCCATGTCATGTTTCTAGTCCACACGTCTAGGACAGGCCCTGTGGGACAGTGACGGGGCTCAGGGGCCAGCATTCCTTCTGTACTTGAGTGCTGCTGGTGGTTAGGAGCCTTAGTTGGTTCGGACTCACAGCAACTACATGAACATCAGAATGAGACACTGTCTGGCTGTGTGCCATCCTCACACTTGTTCTGTTTAGGGTTGGAACCAGAAAAAGTATTTGTTTCTAAAATGTTCAGGATTGTGGATGAAAAGATAGGTGCCCATGTGAATTCCAATTGAGTAGGTGAATAATGGAAGTTGATTGAGCACATACCAAGAATTTCCTATAAAAATATTCTTACGAGCTCCCTGAACTAAGTGCTGTTGGTCTCTCCAGTTTACAGAGGAGGGAAAGTGAACACAAGGAGGCTGGTTGCTTTGCTCCGGGACCCATGCCAACAGTGGCAGAGTCTGGATGTGAACCCACAGCTTGAGTCAGTTGGCATTGACCCAATGGAAGTGAGTTTAGTTTTGGTTTATGAGTCAGAATTGACAGTGGCTGTTGTTATTGTTGGTAGTCATATTCTTTGTACATTGGGTTTCTTTTTTTTTTTTTTCTCATGGGTTTGGGTAACAGAAAATGAGGGAAGTTGCTGATAGGATTATAAAATTCAGTTGTGATGGTTAACAGGGTTAATTCCAACAGTTTGGAACTCTTAATTCTAACATGGAAAGTGGCCAAGTTTGTCATCTTGCTGGACATAAAACAAGCCAGCTCAGAAGCAGGAACGGTGGATCTCACTACCTTCAAGAAGGAAGAGCCAGGAGCGGAGTTTGTCCTTTGGAACTCAAGAAACGTGTGCACTGAACTTGCTCAGTCCAGGAGACAGAGAGCAGTGATGTCACAGAAGTGGTGGAGTAGCACCAGCAGCAGAGGTGGCACTACCAAGAGCATACAGGCAGGGTAGCAGGCTTCCTGACCCACAAATCAAGAAAGTCTTCTGACTTCAAACAGGGGCTCGATTGTGGTGTGGGTTGCTTCCAGGCACTTAATCGGAGGAGTTGGGTTTGCAGACCCACAGAGTTAGAGCCAAGCACCTCTGGACTGAGGCTTATGGTGGAGTAGAGTGTCCTTTGGGAACTTATTGGCAGTAAGAAAGGACCTTTGTAACATTGCTCAAGCAGGGCAAAGATGAAGCACCAGAGAGAGTTGCTCCTGACTGATAGAACTGTATCCTGAATTTCTGATGCTGAGTCGTAACCTTCTAACTTCCCTGATCATGAGTTTTGGTTGTGAGTTCTGTGTAACCATCGCAATGAATTATAGAATGGAGTAGAGAAGTCGAGAGTACCTTGAGAGGGATGGTAAGCATCAGAATTGGCAAGTAGGGTTGGAGGGTGGAGGCATGTCTGACATCAGCTTCTTAGGAATTGGCCTTGTACTGATTCCTCCTCCCCCGGGTCAAGTCAGAGTAGGTCATATTCAGCCCTCCACCATTTCAATATTAATTTCCTGATGTTTATGACTTTGGATGCTCTAAGAGAAACCCATTAGACATGTATGCGACTTGATTAAGGAAAGAGTTTATTAGATCTGGATTGATGCATCTAAAGCTGTGGGAAACAGAAGGATTTCTCTCAAGCTGTCTTCCCCAAATGTATCCCAGACAGCTGCTTGAGAATGACTATGCACTTGGAGGCACTCTCCCTAAGAGCTATCAGCCACCTAGAACAAGCAGACACCACTGTTTATCCCACAATAAGTAGGGCCCACTCCCTTCTGATAAGGATAGTAGTTGTCTGTTTCCTTGTAGGAGACACCAGAGAGATCAAACCCACACAAGGAGGACCAAGGTTAGGCTGCCATCATTGATCTAGGGTCTGCCCATCTTGTCACACGTATACCCCTAGACCTTCCCATTCCTATAGGCACACCCCTAGCTCATCCCCTTCCTGTTACGCTTATGCCTATCATAGATCCCCTTCCTACGATGTGTATGCCTATTGTACTGCCCCTTCCTGTGACGTGTGATTCTGTAATCATGGCCCCCTAAAGTGATATAATGATTGGTTAGCGAGAAAAAGAAGAGGCTCTCCCCAGCTCTGGGGCTGGAAGCTCTCTCCAGCTCCCCAGGCCTGGAGGCTCTCCCCAATTCCTGGGGCCCTCTCTGGCTCTCGGGCCAGGAGAGACTCCCCGATTCTCGATCTGAGGCTACCCCTGCTCTTGTGCCCGGGTTCCCCCCATGAGGACCACCAAGTGGGGCGGAGGTGAGCAAAGCTACCATGTAATGTGTCTGACTGCATCATTGTAATATCTCTTTTATCTCTCATGCTCTCAATGGCTTTAATATAAACAAATAAATAAATATATATATGTATATACATATCAACCGTACAATTGTGCTACTGAACCTGTAGGTAGTAGTAGCGGTGGGGGCTGGCCCCTCACACACACACACCCCCGCCCCACATTTAATTTAATACTACATAAAGTGTCAAAAAAAAAAAACTAAGGCTCTTTCCCAAAATGCTGCACTCTCCTTTCTGGATTGGTGTCATCATCCTTTTTATATTCTGATTTGGATTTGGCATGCTCGTTACTTGCTTACTTTCCCCCCTTCCCGTGTGTAGTTGACCCCTTACACTGGCAGTGGGATACAGGATTGGTTAAGGTCATAGTCATTTGTTTGTGTGATCACAAGGTGTTGACAAGATCAGGTATCAGGCATCAGACCCCAAACAAACAATCGTATCAATGAGAATGGGGGATTGAAGTGGAGACCCAAAGTTCATCTGTACACAATTGGACATCCCCTCACAGAAGGTTCACAAGGAAGAGAATGAGCCAGCCATGGTGCGGTATAGTACTGACAAAACACACACCATTCCTCTAGTTCTTTAATGCTTCCCCCGCCCCCCACTATCATGACCCTAGTTCTACTGTATAAATTTTGGTAGACTGGAGCATGTACACTGGTAGAGATAAGAGCTCTTGAGACACGGAATACAGGACAGATAACCCCTCAGGGACAATAATGGGAACGGTTATACCATGGGGGTAGAGGGATGATGGAGGAGAAGGCATAACCAATCACAATGATCAATGTTTAACACACACACACATCAAGGTGACAAACAACAGAAATGTGGGGTTAGGGAGACAGTGGTCGTTGTAAGATATGCAAATAGTAATAATTTATCAAGGGGTCACAAGGGTTTGGGGGTGGGGGTGATAAAAGAGGAGCTGATACCAAAGGTTTGAATAGAAAGAAAATAATTTGAAAATTATAATGGCAACATGTGTACAAATGTGCTTGATACAATTGATGTATAGCTTGTTATAAGAGCTGTAAGAGCCCCCCAATAAAATTTTTATTTAAAAAAGAAAGAAAGTCCTGTCTTCCTCTCACCTAGCAGCTAGTGGAGCCCTGGTATGCCACCAGGGCTCCTCTATTCTGACTCATGGTGGCCCAATAACACAACATACAACTGTTCTCTAGGGTTTCCAAGACTACAAATTAGGAGAGAGACTCATCTTTCTCCTGCATAGTGGCTGGTAGATTCAAACTGTTGGCCTTAACAGTTAACAGCCAATGCATAACTTAGTATGCTATGAGGGATGAACCATCCCAAGTAAATCACTGCCCCTCTGTGGAAGTTACATGATCTGGTGTCAATTTGGGACTTAAAAGGATTAAGAGTGAAGGAGGGTGGAGTCTAGTCTGTCATGGTCAATGGGGCCCTGTGTGGGCATGGCCATCTCCTGAGGATCCTGGGAAATCTGCTATTCCTTCTTGGAGGTGGTAGACACTATTTCTCTCCCTAGTCACTCCCTTGGAGACACTCTACTGACAAGACACATGGCACTACTCTGATAGACTCCGTGTCCTGGGAGCTGGAGGATCCACATGAACCTACCCTAATGCAGCCCTGGGTGCTGGAGAAGTCACGTGGAGACCCCTGCCAGCACTGGGATGCTTATAATGCCACTGGATTCACAAGACTCCCCACCCACTTGCTTGTGACCTTCCTGTCATTGCATATGTTTCGTGAGTCTGAAGAGGACTTCGTAGATTGGTATCAGACATATGGGCTAATTCCAGACTTATGGACTTGATCTTAACTGGGTTGGGATGCTTTCTTGATGTGCAGTTACCCTTTGTATAAAACTCTCTCTTATACACATATGAGTTTCTATGGATTTGTTTCTCCAGTCTACTTATACTGACACAACCACATTTAGAAATACCCGTTTATTCCTTATTTTACTACATTCAATTTCAAGGTATTTGAAGATATCTTGAACTATTTTATCGAGATATTGTCCCAATAAAGTGACAGTAAAGAAAAAAGATGTAAACAGAAAACAACACAATATACAACTTTATTAAATACAGAGAGAAATTTATCCAATCACATTGAAATGGATAGAGTCCAGGAAATACATACAGTGATGAAGATATAATTATGTGTGATGGATTATTTTGTTTTGTTTTCATTAATCATTTTATTGGGGGGCTCTTACAAAGCTCATAACAATCCATCATTCAATAGTATTAAGTACACTTGTACTTATGTT